TTACATAATCAGGTTTCTGCCACATGCCATGTGTGTTCGTGCGTACGTCTCTAACATTGCTACATAACCAGGTTAGGCAACTTTGCCTGGCACAGGACTTTTGTCCGGGACTGTACGTATCATGTAAAGTAAATTAATAAAAAACATATTTTGTAAAAATTGATTGTTTTGTCTTTATTTTGTAAAAAACAAATTGTTTTTATCTTTATTTTGTAAAAATTTATTGACTTTATGTCTATTTATAGGTTACTTGAATTATTAAGACATTATTTAATCATTATAACTTAAGTTCTTCAGGGCTCAGGAATGGAACCTATTTTTACCCATAATTTATTAATATCGATATATGATCGATCACTTAGCGATGGCTTCTTGAGGTCCCTAACTTTATTGTATAATGGTTATTGTTTGTAATGGTCTAATAACTCAAAGAGTGGCACAAGGTACAGAAACAAAAACTTAGTTTAAATGAAAAGAAAATTATCATTTTGTGAAGAATGCTGCTAATTTTGCGATTAAATTTCTTGACAATCTTCATTTGCATTATACAGTTTTCTGAATAGGTCAATTGCCAAATATACCTTGGCCTCTGGCTGATAACTGAAGGTGTCCCAGGGTGGCAAATTTCATAACTGTGACCTTCTCATGGAAATTTATGACACCATTACATAATTCTGTAAAGTCTTTAACATCTTCAAGAGTTTATTCAATATCAGCATTAATTCTAAGAAAATGAAAGTAAACAAGCTTAGTTACCCAAGGCAAACATAGGATTCTTTATAGAAGGGTGGGGGGAGGGGAGGGGGGGGAAGGAATGTGTGTCTTCTGTGTAGTGAAATGATTGCCAAATTGCAACATAGTATTTTTCTAATTTTATTTATTCCTCACATTTACTGGTACAGTATCCATGTGACACAGTTCAGCCAGGCAGTCACCCAGCTGACTCAAAAGATGTGTGTGGCTGCTGGATGTATATACCGTGACGTCACATAGAGGAGAGGAAAAGTGTGGCTGGTTACAGTTACAGCTCACTGCCACAATACAAACACTCACTTCCCACACATACACACCCATGCTCTTCATTTTTCTATTTTATAGTTTTACATAACGGTAAGTCCTTGCTTAACATCGGGGTAACGTTCCTGAAAACGCAAAGTTATAAGGAACAACGTCAAGTGGATCAATTTTCCCCATAAGAAATAGATAAAATATGGGAGTTACATTCCTGAGCCTCTCTTTGCCCCATGAAATACATTACATATACAGCTCCTCCCCGACTTACGACCTGCCTCAGTCGTACCCAATTTTGACAAATTACGTATTTTCGAGTCCCAACGTCAGTACACAGAACAAAATTTTTGTTTGTAATTCCCTTTAAAATGGCTGGCAAGCATAAAAGTGAGAGTTCTCGGTGCTGAGAAGAAAAAGACACCCAGAAATTTAAGTAAATCTACCCAAAGATAGAGTTGAAATTTTTTTTACATTACTGTATTAAAATGTACAGTACTATGCACTAAATTTTTTTACCTCTTGTGCAAAATATATGACATTTATATTCAAATTAATCACTATCTTATAAGAATTTCAGCAATGTAAATTATATTTTCCCTGGTCACTTCTATGTCATTTTACAAGCAAAAAACAAAAACTCAATCTAAAGGGCATAAATAAACAAATAAATACTTCACTAGACCTTCGGCGCTAACTGTCAAACATGTCACTGCCCCCCTCCCAGCAAGGGTTTAGTGGTTATACAGTAGGATTTAAGTTTTTATCTTACCTGGTATATAATATCACAGACTAAAGTTAGGAGAATATAATTTGAATTGCTGGAATCCTTGTAAGACAGTGAATAATTTGAATATTGACATATATTTGGCAAAAGGGATAAAAATTTTAGTCCCTTAAGTACATTTAAGTACCTGTACTGTACAGTACATGTTTTTCAACTTATTTTTTGGTTGATATAGTATCTTTATTCATTTATTTTTACTCATTTACATGTACACACCATCCTAAATACAGAGTGAAAAAGATAAATTAAATATTTGTCCTAAGGGAGAGGGTGATGCGCTGTAAAAAGTAGTCCATGATGACGCAAACGACTTTAAACCGAGTCACCAAAACGTTAAAAACAATTTTGGTCTCTAAAGTTTAGCGACGTAGTACCAAAACAACGTTAAGCGGGACAACGACAAGCGAGGACTTAATGTATATTTTCTTTATTTGTAAGCCACATTCCAGTATTGTACATAATGAATTTCCCACAACTTTTATAGTTTCATTACACATAACAAAAGCAAAATGTCAACTCACAAGCCATCTCGTCCCCCGTTTTCCTCCCACCATAGTAAGTCAAACATCGCTAAACCAAATTTTTACCTCCCGTTAAACAAGAAAGGGTGTTAAAAAAATTTTAAATGTTAATATTGCCAAACCAATTATCATTAAGTGAATCAACACTAAATGAGGGTACCTCAATAACCAGCCCTAAAAAACTTCAACTTACAGGGATCGTCTCGCAAAGAACGATAAAAATTTGATGAAAAGTATGTTTTCTGAAAAAATTCCAGAGCATTCCGTTCGGCATCAGTGACACATGTGCCAAGCATGATTATAATCAGACAATATTTACTACCACAAAAAAAATAAAAATCATAAAAGGAACCTCCAACCCCTTTGGTGTATGGTGTTGCATCATATACATTTCTGTTGTCATAATAGTGCCTGAAAAAATATGTAAAAAGGTTTTATTCGCAAAAAAAAAAAAAAAATTTGTTCGCCATTTAGGCAACATCTGGCATCTGATCCTTCGCTGAGGAAGAGAAGGTGTGTGTGAGAGGGTGGTGGAGTACAGGAGGGAAAGTTAGTAACTGGAACGGTTTGTTACAGAGTGTATGTATGCTACACATCCTCCTCGCCTTTTTTATGCATTTTCTTGCCATTATCTCACCCCAAAAAGATGCCTAGACCCAGTAAAAAGAAGCTGAACATTCATACAAGAAACGTCAGCAACATTAAGAGACCGATATTTACGATATCACAGCATCTCAGCTAACCGCATCGATATCACAGCATCTCAGCTAACCGCATCGATATCACAGCATCTCAGCTAACCGCCACGATATCACAGCATCTCAGCTAACAGCCACGGCTACTGTTGTCCCTCCAGGCCAGATTCTACCTCCTCTAGCAGTGGCTCCCGCCACTCAGACTACACTCTAAGCCAAGGGCTCAAAACCTGGCTAAAAAGAGGAAGGTAGTGCCTTTTGATACTCTATGAATATCCTGTATATTTTATATAAATATATTGGGGGGAACCAAGTACAGCATGCCCTGACAATTCACGGATTTTTATTCGCAGCTCTCGATTATTCGCAGATGACACCCTGGATGTACCCAAGAATGTCTAAGGGTAATTTTAAAGTTGCTGGCATTTTCTTGGCCGAGACAGGGAGCCATTTGTTCTTCATTCTAGAGACAGTAATTTCTTTTACCTGTATTGTATGTATGAGTGTAGACATACACACACACACATATACAATACAGTCTCTCCTCGACTTACGACATATTCGACTTATGACGTCATACGACGGCCATGGTCGTATAAAATATTTTTCACATTACGTATTTTCGAGTCCCGACGTTAGTGATCGCGCTGTGTACTGACAAAATTTTTGTTTGTAATTCCCTTTAAAATGGCTGGCAAGCATAAAAGTGAGAGTTCTCGTGGTACTGAGAAGAAAAAAGAGACACCCATTTTAGAATTTCTATGTATTATTTTTGCCTTCTTGACTTACGAACTGGTTGTCGGTCCGGAACCCCGTCGTAAGTTGAGGAGAGACTGTATAGGTAAAAGAAACTATTGTCCTAAAGGCAAACACATAATGGGAATACTGTATACATTTCTTTGCACACGAATAAAAGTGTACCCCCCCCCAGCAAATGTTATTTGTGGCCATTTTTAGAACCCAACCCCAGCAAATTTTAAAAGCATGCTGTACCATGAACTTCTAAACTTTCAAAGCCTTATAGTATCTCAAAACTAGTAAATTCTATATAAATCTCGAAACTCTCCAAAAGTTATCGTTGGCCTGAGGCCAACCAGCAAGTTGGTTTTGATGAAATCACAAAAGAGGACATCACTGAGCTTCTCATCTCTCATAAGGAGCTCAGCAATGAGGACCTGCTGGAGCTGGAGAAGCAGAAGAAGGAGTAGGAAGAAGAGGAGTTGCCATGCACCTTCCCTACCTTAACTTTGGTCAACATTGAAAAAATTCTGGGTGACATGAGGCCAGCAGCCAGACTGTTTTTGACCAGAACCATGATGGTGAACGCAGCTTCAAGGTGCGGAATGGGCTTCAGAAATGGTTCAGCTGCTACAAGGAGCTTCACTGGCAGAAAAGAAGCATGCAAAGCAAGACAAGGTCACAGATTTCTTCAGGCCTGTTCTGAAGTCTCTGCCAGATGACCCTCAACCATCAACTTCTTCAGTTATTTGTGCCCTTTTCCACAAGAAAAAGCATCAGCCAGCCCCTCAGCCAGTCTTCACCAACCCCCCCAGCCAGAGTCTCCACCTGCATTCACTGGGTTTGGGGACCTTGACGATCCTGCACCCTTAACCCAATAAGATTACCTCAACCAAACATGTTCCTCCAGCCTCGGGGAGGAATGCCAGCTCAACGGTTAAACACAGGTAAAGACATGTAATAGTCTCAATTTATGCTTAAATTCTTTAGTTATTGATTAATATGACTGATTCATATGTTGACAGATATATGATGAGGGTAGATGGGAGGTTGTTTTATGGGGGGTGGCTGGTCCCTAAACCTCTGAATTTTTTATATTTTAATGGGATTAATTGCTTCAATAACCATTGATTCATTAACAAACGACTTTAAACAGTCCCTATAAGCATCGGTTATTGGGGTATGCCTGTACAGTACTGCAATAAGAAAAAATCACACAAAACAAAGACTTACAGTAAACAGCTGACTTACCAATCAGATCATTTTCTTCTTTCTTAACAAGGAAAAGAGCAAAGTAGTAAACCAATTCATTTGGCAGGTGAATGTGGCTACACACTTTCTGAAATGGGAAAATAAAGGTCAATGTTATTTAAGATTTACATTAATTAGAAAGCTATTTTCAATGAAAAAGTACATAAAGCACATTTGGATTTGGCAATGCTACTAATTTCTAATGCCAAAAATCATAAAAATCTCCGAGCAACTGATGGCTTTGTCGGCTATTCTTGATTGAATTGCCTTAATGTTAAGGGTGAATTTAAGGAGGGGGAGTGAGGAGAGGCAATCACTCCTCTCAAACCAAATGGTATATACCGGTTTATCTTAGAAAAAATGAGAGAATCAAGGCAAAAAACCAACTTGAGTCCTAAGCTCCTCCCCAACTTACGACCTACTCGACTTACGTCCACCCGCACTTACGACCTGCCTCAGTCGTACTAAAAACTTTGTCAAATTACTTATTTTCGAGTCCCAAAGTCAGTACACAGACAAAATTTTCATTTGTAATTCACTTTAAAATGGCTGGCAAGCTTAAAAGTGAGCATTTTGTGGTGCTGAAAAGAAAAAGAGACCCCCATTTTCGATTTTCTATGTGTTATTTAAGCATTTCCGACTTACGACCATTTCGACTTACGACCTTGATGTTGGTCCTTAACTCCGTCATAAGTCGGGGAGCAGCTGTATATGCATTAAAAAATTTTTAAACAATGTTACATCGAAATGTGTATAAAGAAGGTTAAATTATAAAACAATATAGATTAGAAAGCATGTGGAAGGAGGTTGAAGAAGACTTGGCAGGATGATAGAGGTTTATGTAAGACTGATTGATTATGGTATTTACATCCCTGGCGATGCAACAGTTTAGATCATATGTTACTGAATTAAAATAAAAACATATTGTGAGAAAAGTAAAAGAAATAATTGTCCTAAGGGAAAACCTGTATTGTACTCAAATGTACTAAATAATTACTAAAATTTTTATGTCTAGTGCAAACGATAGCATGTTTTATGTTCAAATTAATCACTACCTTACAAGAATTCCAGCAATGTAAGTTATATTCCAAGTTAATTCATTAACATTTTATATGTAAAAAACTCAAACTTCCTCTGTATGACTGATAAATAAACATAAGGTAACCTTCGCAAAACTTCATTGAGGCTGTCAAAATATCTCACCTTCCCTCCCCATCCTACCAGCCAGGGTAAAGGTGGTTTATGGCTTTAAGTTTTTATCTTATAAAATGGCACAGATTAAAGTTAGCAGAGTAAAACTTGCATTGATGGAATCCTTGTAAGACAGTGAATAATTGGAATATACAGTAGACATCATATATTTTGCACAAAAGATAAATTTTTTAGTCCTTTAAGTATATTTAAGTACAAGTTTCTCAACTCGTATTACGTAACTTTATTCATTTATTTTTACTCATTTATATGCACTCACCATTATAAGTACATATTGTGAAAAAAGTAAATGAAATAATTGTCCTAATGGCAAACCTGTACTGTACTCAAATGTACTAAATACAGTGGTCCCTCGGTTAACGAACGCCTCGGTTAAAAAAATTTCAGTTAACGAATTACATTCCATAAGAAGCTTCACTTCGGTTAACGAATTCCTTACGAATTCCTCTCAACATGTTTTCGCTTGCTCACCAGCTGGAATATTAGTCCGCCAATACAGTAATCGGTTATAGGGCTTAAATTCGTTCCCATTTAAGTAAATATCAAGAAGGTTGTACTATTCAATAATTTTACAAGTTTTGTATTAAAATTTTTGAACATAATTGACGTACAGGAAGCTAGTTTTTAGCGCGCCAGACAGCCATTTGACTCACCCAGCAGGCGTCAGTTTGTGTCTCTGCTCAGTGGAGGTAACATCTTGCTTGAGACTCTCTTGAACACAGTATTTTTATGATTTTACAGTACAATTATTGGTCATTCTGAAGTTTATTTTACATATTGACAGTGTTGATTTAAAGAAAATAATCTTGAATTACACCTAGTGAACTTAAAATTTTATGGGTGAAATGACGGCATGAAGCATAGGGTGATTTCTCTTCCACCCCCACTTCCTTCTCTTCTCCCTTCTCCTCCACACCCACTTCTAATTCCCATCATCATCAACCAGGAGCCTTCTACATACACACCTCAAAGTAAGTGTACTTTACTGCATTTATTTTTAGTTTGTATGTAATTTTCGGTGCGCTGGAACCAATTACCCAAAATCCCATTGAAACAATGGTTTCGGTTAATGAAATTTTCGGTTAATGAACGACCTTCTGGAACGAATTGTGTTCGTTAACCGAGGGACCACTGTATACCGTATATCACGGCCTATAAGACGAAATTTGAACATTAAAAAAATCTGCCCAAAGTTAGGGGGTCGTCTAAACCACCAAGTTTAAAATTCTTACCTCTTAAATATTGTGGTTTAGTGTGTCAAGAGTGGTGATGAAAACATCGTAAGCCACTCACAAGGTCTTACCACTAATTATTTTATACTGAAACTTACGTTTGGCAAGCTGGATTCAAATTAAGATTACCGGTATATTAAAATAATAAAAATGTATTATAAACCTGTCTAACATACCGTAAAAGAGATTTATACCCCTATAATAAACACAGCTATCATCACACACCCCTCCCCACGCCCCCCCCCCATTTGCCAGTGAGGAGCCGTGGAGGTGGTCAGTAATGCATACCGGTATCGGTATATTTACTCATAATAATATTTATCTCCTATAAATAATTGATTTAAATTTTATTTTTTTCCAAAGAATATTCAGTAAATGAGTGCATTAATTCTTGAAACTATCGACGGTTAATTACAGACGCTCAAGTGACGTCACTAGTGTTTACACTACACCAGCTGGTAATATTTGATGCCATTACTTGAAGTGAATTGGCCTTATTTTAAGTAACTAACTATAAATAAATACAAAAATTAAAAAAAAAGATCAAAACTGAGAAATAATATACTGTATGTATGTTGTGTTGTCAAAGTAAGAGGAACAATTGTGTAAGTACGTAATATTTTTTCACTCAAATCCTAATGAAACACTACTGGAGAACATTCCTTTGTCGCAAAACAGTTTATAAATTAAAGAAAATAATTACAGTGTGTTTAATATATTACAGTATATTATAAATAAATAAATAAAACAAATAATTCGGTAAATCTATTTAAAGTAAATGGAAAATAAGCAAACATGTTATTTACCAAGACCCTTCCGTCTGGCTCAGGGTGAGATGTAGGGGAGATAAAGAAGGCTATTTATAGCCCATCAGAAGTGACCAGTACCCTAATGCACCATAAATAATTCATTGAACATTCATTTTTTGTACATAGTATATTCAGTATATATATATATATATATATATATATATATATATATATATATATATATATATATATATATATATATATATATATATATATATATATATATATATATATATATATATATATATATATATATTTGTGTAATAAATGTATGTAGTAAGTACATACTGGTAACCTTTTTCACTCAAATCCTAATGAAACACCACAATTAGAATACGGTGGTTGCTGTTGAACCACATGTTGTATAAATAGTCACACCACCGAGACGAGGGAACACTCCCAACACGCTTCAGTGACGTCACTAGTGTTTACACTACACCAGCGGGTATAATTTGATGACATTACTTGAAGTGAATTGGCCTTATTTTAAAAAATCAAGGATGGTTGGTAAAGGACTACTGAGTCAGTGGGTAAGTGTCACATTTGTGGTACTGGTCTTATACAGCAAATAGAGCTCAAAAGCTACTTTTTAAATGGAAATTTGGGGGGGGCGTCTTATGCACCCCGCCGCCTTATAGGCCGTGATATACGGTAGGCATTTTTATCAAGCATAAATAATTTTTTTTTGTTCTGCTCGTGCTTATGTATAGAAATAATTATTTTATTGTGATTACTCATATAAAACTGTTTGTAGATAATTTATTTACAGTGCTAATGCAATAAATCCCACCTTTTTATCTCAAATAGCAAGCTTGATGTGACTCATTACATACAATTATCTCTCATGTGGTGCTCCCCCAAGCGTCTACCCAAACCCAAGAGTGCTAAAAGGTATGGTTCAATAAATGTATGAAGTGTACTGAAATTATTTTTTCTCCAAAAGAATCCTTGCAAAATAGGGACGCATCTTTTATGCCAGCAAATACAGCATGTATACAGTACTGTATATCTACCCAAAATTATGAGCTGAACAATAACATAGGTCACAGCTCAGCCTCCGATTTAACGATCCCCTTTTTTTTTTGTACATGAGAATGGTTTACTGTAGGGAAAGGGTTTCACCATAATTGTAGAGAATGAAGTTACTTAGCTACTAAAAGTGAATGATTATGCTTCATTGGCTAAGAAAAATTTTCAGTTCCACAGCAAATGAGAATGTAAACATTAACCAGAATAAGAACATAGACTGCATCACTTACTCTATTTCACAGAGGTACAACCATTATGTTGAATATAATGATACTGTAATATCTAAGTAAGTATGAGAACAAACTATGTTGAAAATTTAAGCAATGAGATGAAGTAATTTTTGTTTTGTATGCATAAAAGCCAATTGAAACAACAAGACATAAATGCCAATGAATAGTCTGGTGAAGATTGATAATCATGAAAAAGTGGGTCGTATAAGCCTGAGAGCCCCTTAGGGAAAATAATGATAGTGTACAGTATACTCAATACTAAGCATTAATTACATAAGGAGGCAATGTGGTTGGCACTACACTTCCCCAACAATAAAGTAGGAGCCCAATCATAGCTAGGTGGACTAGGGGTTCCTCAGGCATAAAACAGTGACTTTTAGGACAGGAAGTGGGCATTGTAACCACTATGCCACCCCATTCCTCAATTTGGTGTGGACACACTCCAGGTTGTAGATTCCACGAAGCTCCTCGGCATCACCATAGACAACAAACTAAATTGGAAACCACACGTCAGTGAAGTTGTCAAATCCTCCATTTTCCGTCTCCACCTCCTCCGCCGACTCAAGTCCCTCGGAGTTCCTGCACCCGAGCTCCTCAGTGTTTACACAACATTCATACTTCCCAAGCTCACCTATGCCTCCCCCACCTGATCTTCCTCCCTAAATGCCACACAACGTAAACACCTAGAAAAAGTGCAAAAGAGGTCATGCAAGATTATTCTCTCCCCTTCCTACTCCACATATCAAGAAGTGCTCAACACACTGACCCTTTCGACTCTCACTGACCATCACCACGACCTCATCTGCAAATTTGGTAAGAAACTTCTACACCATCCTCAACACCGGCTCCTACTACCACCTGAGATCCCTAGCCCGAGAATTGCTGTTCAACACCACAACCGCATCCAGCCCATACGTGCACGAACTGATCGCTATAAGAACAGCCCAGTCCCAACCATTGTAAAAATTATCAATAACTTGTAATAAACCAGTGTATTCACTCCCAGTAAACACTACTCCTTGCACTGTCACTATGTTGAAATGAACTGTAGTTTGAGCTTTTCCCCATCTAGTTATTATATGTCTTATTTGTGTCAACTTATGTTACTTGTATATTATTTGTAATTCGAAACCCATTCCCCAAATATGTAACTGTATATTTTCAGCCTTCTGGCTGCCAAGCTCTTTCAATAAACCGTTAATTATTATTATTATTATTATTATTATTATTATTATTAAAATGGAAAAAGGCAACATACCTCAAGAAGGTCGTCAGTCTGAAGTGTTGCTGGAACGCTGAGTGTCACTTTCTGGCCACTCATCATGTAAATGTCAATTGGCACCTCATCTTGTCCACCACCAACCCGTTGGGTTTCATTTTGGGCAGAAACAAGAAAGCCGTTGAACACATCATTGTTAAGGACCCTGGGATCTTGACTCACTTGTGGGAAGTAAAAAATGGATATTAATACATTCTGTATAATGAAAATTTGTTCACATACATAAAACCACAACAACAGAAAACTAATAATTAAAATATTAAAAGAGCATTAGTAAGAATTTGCTATCTCTAGAATACTGCCCATAAACTGAAGGTACAGTAAACTCTCGATAACTTGGCATTCCATTAATCAGAATCTCATATAACTTGGCACTGATATGGTCTCAGAATGTATTGTACAGTATAGTCTGCATTTACGCGGTCAATTGAACCCGTGGAGGTCAACATAAAACGAGAAACGAGTAAACGAAATAACAAGACATATGGGATTAATTGAAATAGTGACTGGGCCAACTCCCAAACTCCACTTTTTCCGACACAACACGTACATTGTAGTAAAAATAACATCTTACTTTTATGATGGCATGCACACAATTAATATTTAAGAGAAATATCAATAATATTAGGCTTTTTAACACTTACGTTAGTAGAAAAGATGGCTGGGCACACGGGGATAGGAGAGAGAGAGAGAGAGGAGAGAGAGGAGTGAGAGAGTGAGTGAGTGAGTGGAGTGAGTGGAGTGTGTGTGTGTGTGTGTGTGTGTGTGTGTGTGTGTGTGTGTGTGTGTGTGTGTGTGTGTGTGTGTGTGTGTGTGTGTGTGTGTGTTGTGTGTGTGTGTGTGTGTGTGTGTGTGTGTGTGTGTGTGTGTGTGTTGTGTGTGTTGTGTGTTGTGTGTGTGTGTGTGTGTGTGTTGTGTGTGTGTGTGTGTGTGTTGTGTGTGTGTTGTGTGTGTGTTGTGTGTGTGTGTGTGTGTGTGTTGTGTGTGTGTTGTGTGTGTGTGTTGTGTGTGTGTGTGTGTTGTGTGTGTGTGTGTGTGTGTTGTGTGTTGTGTGTGTTGTGTGTGTTGTGTGTTGTGTGTGTGTTGTGTTGTGTGTGTGTGTGTGTTGTGTTGTGTGTGTGTGTGTTGTGTTGTGTGTTGTGTGTGTGTTGTGTGTGTGTGTGTGTGTTGTGTGTGTTGTGTGTTGTGTAGTGATGGGTTGTCAGACCACAGCTTACATCTCAGAAACAGTCCAGACTTGACCCGACATTAGGGAGGTCAAATGTAATGGTACCCCTCGCAACCACTCAAGGAGTTACAAATCAACTAGCTCCCCTTCCCATGTCACACGGCCCCAACAAACATGTAAGAAGGCACCTGCCCACTCTCTCCTAATATACACAATAACCTACATCCCAGAAGAAGTCCAGACCTGACCTCACATTAGCCAGGTCAAATGTAACCCTCGCAACCCAAGTCAAGGGGCCACAAATCAACTAGGGCCTCTCATGTCACACAGCCCCATCTGAAGATTTCTCCAGAATATACAACTTATAGTCTCTGAAAAAGTCCAGACCTGACCCTACATTAGCGAGGGCAAATGTAAGGAGACCCTTCGCCGCCCCCCCGATCAGCTCAACCTGACGGCTCGCCTCCCAATATATAGGACGTCCTAGTCCTCCCTCGGCCAGAGAGAGACAGAGAGAGAGAGTGTGTCTTGTAAGGAGGAAGGGCCAGCTACGACACCACCAGGCCCGCTCGAGAGGAGTCAGAGAGGACCGGAGGCAGTCGCCTCCGGTCAGGACCGAGACTTCCCTCCGGCGCCCAGCTAAGCAGTCTCCCATAGAGACAACCCAGGACCACCTGCTAGGCCTCCCCTAGATCACGTGAGTTTTTGTCAGAGCTTTCCATGGGATGAGTTACTTACGTGGGAAGTGTATTCATTTCATGTTCGTGTCCGAGAATCAGTGTCTAGTAACGTAATATGATGTCCTAGTAACGTAAACATAATGTCCTAGTAACTTCAATAGAAGGTGTTATTAATGTGTCCATGTCATGTTCGTAATTAATAAAGAGTTGTAACGAAGCGGTGTTTGAGAAGTCGCCCTTAAGACGTAATATATGTGTATTGACATATATAAGATACGATAAGTGTAAATTCATCATCAAATAACTATCACGAGCACGCTACCAAAATCTTCCTCTCTTTTATACTCTTATACTATCAATATTCTACCTATATGTAATCTTCTTCTTGTGAGATTTGTCTCATTACAGTTGTGTGTGTTGTGTGTGTTGTGTGTGTGTTGTGTGTGTTGTGTGTGTGTGTGTTGTGTGTGTGTGTGTGTGTTGTGTGTGTGTTGTGTGTGTGTGTGTGTGTGTGTGTGTGTGTGTGTGTGTGTTGTTTGTGTGTTGTGTGTTGTGTGTGTGTTGTGTGTGTGTGTGTGTGTGTGTTGTGTGTTGTGTGTGTGTGTGTGTTGTGTGTGTGTGTGTGTGTGTTGTGTGTTGTGTGTGTGTGTTGTGTGTGTGTGTGTGTGTGTTGTGTTGTGTGTGTGTGTGTGTGTGTGTGTTGTGTGTGTGTGTGTGTGTGTGTGTGTGTGTTGTGTGTGTGTGTGTGTGTGTGTGTGTGTTGTGTGTTGTGTGTTGTGTGTGTGTGTGTGTGTGTGTGTTGTGTGTGTGTGTGTATATTAAAACCTCAAGTCTACTCCATGCTTTGTTATTAATAAAGCATGGCATAGACTTGAGGATAGACTCAACATTTTTAATACTACATTTGTTTCTGATTATTTGTGAGAGGATTTTCCCATTATTATTTATTTGTATGTGATTTGTGTGTGTGTATCTACACATACACACACATATATACAATACAGGTAAGGAAATGACTGTTTCTAATATGAATGGCTCCCTGTCCCAGCAGCAAAAATGCCGGCAACTTTAAAACGACCCACAGACATTGTTTGGTACATCCAGGGTGTCATCCACGAATAATAGATAATTGTGAAATAAAAATTCGCGAATTATCCGGGCGTACTGTATTCTTTATTTCTAAGCTCCATCAGAGTATTTTAATATACAGTATAGTCTTCATTTACGCGGTCAATTGAACCCGTGGAGGTCGGCGTAAAACGAGAAACGCGTAAATGAAATAACAGAACATATGGGATTAATTGAAATAGAGACTGGGCCGACCCCCAAACTACACTTTTTCTGACACAATACGTATGTTGTAGTAAAAATAACATCTTAATTTTATGATGGTATGCACACACAATTAATATTTAAGAGAAATACAGTCGCCGGTTAATATCCATTCAAATAATGGACTCAACTCCCCCCCCCTCTTGCCACGCTCGCTGGCTCTCCTCCCTCCCTGAGAAATGTTTGGGTGAAAACACTAGGTTTTTAGGTTAAGTAAGAAATAATACCTCACACTATGGTTAGGATAATATAATTGATATTGATGGATTCCTTGCAAGACTGCGAATAATTTGAATATAAACATCATATATTTTGCACAAGATAAAATTTTTGCTCTCTCTAACAAAATTCTTAAATTTGATCAAAAATTTGTATGTTTAATGCAAATTTTAGGTTGTTTATATTTAAATTAATCACCATCTTATAAGAATTCCAGCAATGTAAATTATTTTTTGGCTGGGTAATTTCTATGAATTTTATGAGCTAAAAACAAATATCTTCAGCTGGGCGACCTTGTGCGCACCCTGCCCGTGCCGCTTCCCGCGTAAATGATGGAATGAACCATGTAAATAAAAATTGTCTGTCTGGCAAGGTGCCGCGTAAATGACCAAATGAACAAATGCGTAAACCAAATCCGCGTAAATCGAGACTACAGTAAACCCCCGCTTTACGCGGTTTCACTTTAGGCGTTTCCACGTTTACGCGGTACCCTGCCGAAACCGGAATGCTCACTTTCCGCGGTGTGTTTACCCTTTTACGTGGAGAGCGGCGCGAGCAGGGTGCGCACAAGGTCGCCCAGTCATCAAAACATTACCGAGTTCTTCACCCGCCACCCACCACAGCCGGCCCAAGTCAGTGATAGTGATAATGATAGTGAGGATATGGACTTATATGGACTTTGAGGGGTTTGACAAAGAGGCCCTGCAAGCCTCTGTGGTGGATAGTGATACAATTGATACAAGTGATACAGGTGAGGGCCAATAATCTTCCCTCTGCCTCGGAACCAACCCCCCATCCCCGTGTGCCCAGCCATCTTTTCTTCTAATGTAAGTGTTAAAAAGCCTAATATTATTGATATTTCTCTTACCTGGTAATTATTAATTGTGTGTGCATACCATCATAAAATTAATTAGTTATTTTTACTACAACGTAGGTATTGTGTCTGAAAAAGTGGAGTTTGGGGGTCGGCCCGGTCTCTATTTCAATTAATTCCATATGTTATGTTATTCACTTTACGCGGGCCACAGTGGGTTCAATTGACCGCGTAAAGTGAGGGTTCACTGTATACTGTACAGGGTATACTATTTTGCTCTGTAATAAAGAAAATGGTTTTACTAGGGTGGACTATAATATCATTAGTGATAAAAGTAACTTGTTTATTTACATACTCAGACTTGAATTATATGTAGACAAAACAATTATTTCTGTTAAAATTTACTCTTCATTTTGTGTAAGGGACCAGATTATAGTACTGTAGTATACATACGTGCCGCACTGTTTACTGTTTATGTAGCATTTCCCCTCCATCACCATCATCACCTACCATTACCCGAGTTGCCAACCATGCCTCTGTGTCACCTACCATGCCTCTTGCCTACTACAATGCTTTGTTCTTGGCCTGCAGTGCTGGTAAGTGTTACTTTTTGACATTTAGTAATTACATGAACACATATGGAGCCCATATGTGCTGAATTATCGAGGGTTTACTGTGAAAAAAAAGTCCTTAAATAAGAATGATAGTGTAATTGTTACTGAATATATTGTGAAGCTCTGTTTTAGAGGAAAAGACTGATAATTTCTGTACATAATCTATCAACTCTCAAGAATATTCTATTAGAACGAAGAACTCATCAACAAAGCTTATCAGAAATAAAATAAATATAGTGCTATAAAAAAAAAAATACATTGTTAGTATTATCAATCCACAATGGTATGTTACAAATTATGTGACAGGTAGTATTTCCATTTTGATAGTTGTGGATATGCATACTCACACTTCACACCAAAAATTCATATGTAACTCCCCTAATGAATACTCACACTGAAGAATATACTTCTCCAAACTGACTCGACGCTCTTCTGTCTGGGTAGGAGACAAGGGTAGAAGCTTTTTTGGGGGGAAGGAAGGGAGTGTGGACCCCCCCAAGTCCTTCCTCAGCTGTTCATGGAGACTATACAGCTGTCGGTATCGAACTGTACAGTGAAACACTCCATTGATGTGAATGTTGTAGGCCTGTAACATCATTAGGTACAGTTAATGAATACCAAAAATAGTCAAAATGGAGTTACATTCATGGGTAGTGACTGAGGTTTCTAAATAAGTCGGTACTGTATAATTTGCTTTCTACTATGAAGTTTAAATTACACGGGGTATACAATATTTTTTTCCCAATGGGGAAGAAAGTGCATCATTTGTGCTGTACACTATATCGTGAGAGGCATTTCTCTCTCCCACACTTTTCTAAGCTTAAAAAAGAGTATGGGACTCTTTGCTGCTTGGGTAAGAGAATGTAGTTTATTTAATTGGTCAAAAAAATGAAAAAGCTCCTTTTGTGTCATCAGAGATAAACTCAAAAGCAGAAATCTTTCCCATGAGAATCATGTCAGAATAACACTCTTAATGTACAGTCCAGCAAATCCAAAAAGCATAGAGACCCCAGACGTCCGAAAGAATATAAAACACTGGGTGAAGACGTAAAATGTATACAGGGTACTTGTGGTTATCAGCATGTATCGGTAGGCCTGCTCCACCTGCATGGCAGTTGTTTTCATAATTGCTTTTCATGATAATTCCTTATGTAACATGTCACAATATGAATTTCAATTTATATTAGTGTGTAAAATATATACTGTACAGGTACAGTGGTCCCTCGATTAACGAACACAATTGGTTCTACAGAGTTGGTTGTTATCCAAAAATTTTGTTAACTGAATCTATTATTTCAATGGGATATTAGGTAATTGGTTCCAACTCACAGAAAAAATATACATACATAGTACTGTGTACCGGTAATAGAATTAACAAAACATTAAATATAAACTATATACTGTACTGTACAGTATACTGTACAATAATAAATAAAAAACAATAGAATACTATATTTTAACTTACTCTGAGGTGTGTACATATTAAACAGCTGATTGTAGAGGCAGTCGATGATGACATGCCATATTCTTTACAGAGTGCATTGGTTCTAATGCCTTCTTCAGGTTTCATAATAATTTCTGCACTGTATATTATCAATATGTTAACTAAATTTCAGAATGACCAATAATTTTATTGTAAAAATGCAAAATACTCAAGAGACCAACAAACTCGATGTTCACTCCACTGTAAACAAAGTTAAACTGAGAAGCATTGGTGAGTGATTCGATCAGCTGAAAGGCACACAAAAACTGTTCCCTGTACTGTATATATTCTCAATATGTTAATAAAATTTCAGAATGACCAATAATTTTAATATAAAAAATGCAAAAATATTCAAAAGCACAACTTTCTTGATATTTACCCCACTGGAAACGAATGTAAACATACAACCAATTAGAGTACAGCCTCGAATAACGACGTTAATGTGTCCTCCAATATTGCAGTGTAAGTAGAATCGTCGTATCGCGAATCATTAATTACCATTAAAATATAGCAATATTAATGAGATGCATTCCCAAGTGTGACCTTTTCATTTCTTTTGTGTGGCTTTTTACCCTCTTTTCCCCCCAAAACAATACAATGAATGAAAATTGCAAACTATATTCTTTAAATACCGTTTCTGAATGCACCTTATACAATACCCGTATAAATGAATAATAATATGGTCACACAAGAAAAGATGGGACACCATTGTTTTCGTTTGTGTTCACAGCCGCGAGTCCGGGACGATAGTTCTACACGAGAAAATGAAGAAAATAAGACCTTGGTTGTAGCTGTAATAAAATTACTGTAATGTAAAAAAAATTAATACAGGTAAATATGGTTTAAGTAACATTATTTATTGTTAATAAATGGAACAACAGAAGTAGCTAACCACTAATGGCAAAGAAAAAAAAGAAGAGATGGACTGGGAACGCCAACATATACTTGCACATTTAAGGATACTTCGTCAATTATCTTCTTAAGAAAATGTATAAAAGATTCATTATTGTTTATTAATGAATATGTATTTGATTGAATTAATTTATATATATGAGAAATGAACAATACAATTCATTAAAAATACGTTATCCACCTGAAACTGAAGAAAATAAGACCCTGATTGTTGTTGTAGTAGTAAAATTAATGTAAAAAAATATGTTTGTTTTAATTAAAGTTACAGTATTTAATGTACAGTAGAAGAAACCACTGATATTAAAGAAAAAGTGAGACTGATAGTGGAACGCCAATGTATACGTGTGCACTCAAGGAAACATAGTCATTTATCTTAGGAATATGTACAAAAGACTCATTATTGTTTATTACAGTTTTTCAACTGTATTTTTGGCTAGATAATCATAAATTTCTTCATATATTTTCATTCATTTACACCATACTAAAAGAAACGTAAAAGAAATACATGACCTAAGTGCAAATCTGTACTGTACATGTACTAAATGATTATGGTACTAAAATTGTTATGTCTAGTGCAAATTATAGCTTGTTTATATTCTCCCAGGTCATTTCACTGGCATTTTATAAGAGAGAAGCTTAGTCACTTAAGGACTGTTAAATAAACACATATGAGACCTTTGGCCCAACTGTCAAACATATCACCTCACCTGCTCGCTCACTCGCTCGCTCCCTCCCTCTCTCCCCCATCTGCCCAGCCAGGGTTTTAGGCTTACAGTTTTTATCTTATATAATATCTCAGACTAAAGTTAGGAGAATATAAATTGCATTGCTAGAATCCTAGCAAGACAGCGAAAATTTTTAATATAAACGTCAAATATTTTGCACACGAGATAAAAATTAATCACTTGTATCACATTACAGTTGTGATTTAATAGTAAGAGTGTATTTGCACGTATACAGTATAATCTCGATTTACGCGGATTTGGTCATTTACGCGGCACCTTGCCAGACCGACAATTTTTATTTACACGGTTCATTCCATCATTTACGCGGGAAGCGGCGTGGGCAGGGTGCGCACAAGGTCGCCCAGTCAACAAAACATTACCGAGTTCTTCACCCGCCACAGCCGGCCCAAGTCAGTGATAGTGAGGATATGGACTTTGAGGGGTTTGACAAAGAGGCCCTGCAGCCTCTGTGGTGGATAGTGATACAATTGATACAAGTGATACAGGTGAGGGCCAATAATCTGCCCTCTGCCTCGGGACCAACCCCCCATCCCCGTGTGCCCAGCCATCTTTTCTACAAATGTAAGTGTTAAAAAACCTAATATTATTGATATTTATATTAATTATTAATTGTGTGTGCATACCATCATAAAATTAATATGTTATTTTTACTACAATGTAGGTATTGTGTCGGAAAAAGTGGATTTTGGGGGGTCGGCCCAGTCTCTATTTCAATTAATCCCGTGTTCTGTTGTTCCATTTACGCGTTTACCGCTTTATGAAGGCCTCCGTGGGTTCAATTGACCGTGTAAAGTGGGGTATTACTGTATATATACACACATACACAGAGGTCCCTCGGTTAACGAACACAATTCGTTCCAGAAGGTTGTTCCTTAACCGAAAATTTCGTTAACCGAAACCATTGTTTCAATGGTATTTTGAGTAATTGGTTCCAGCTCACTGAAAATTATATACAAAGTAAAAAAAATGCAGTAAAGTACACTTACTTTGAGGTGTGTATGTAGAACGGTCCTGGTTGATGATGATGATGGGAATTAGAAGTGGGGATGGAGGAGAAGGGAGAAGAGAAGGAAGTGGGGGTGGAAGAGAAATCACCCCATGCTTGATGCCATCATTTCACCCATAAAATTTTAAGTTCACTAGGTGTAATTCAAGATTATTTTAGGGTATTTAAGTCAACACTGCACTGCACTAAATATTGTCAATATGTTAAATAAATTTCAGAATGACCAATAACTGTACTGTAAAAACGTAAAAATACTCTGTGTTCAAGAGACCCACAAGCAAGATGTTTCCTCCACTGAACAGAGATACAAACTGAGGCCTTGGTGGGTGAGTGAAGTGGCTGATGGGCGCACCAAAAACTAGTTCCCTGTATTGCAATTATGTTAAATAAGTGTTGAAATGACAAAAATTTTAATATAAACCTTGAAAAATTATTGAATAGTATAACCTTCTTGAAATTTACTCCAATTTTAACGAATGTAAGCCCTAGAACCGATTTCTCTATTGGCGGACTAATCTTCCAGCTGGTGAGCAAGCCAAAGTATGTCGAAACATTTTCGTAAAAATTTCGTTAACCGAGGGACCACTATATATATATATATATATATATATATATATATATATATATATATATATATATATATATATATATATATATATATATATATATATATATATATATATATATATATATATATATATATATATATATATATATATATATATATATATATATATATATATATATATATATATATATATATATATATATATATATATATATATATATATATATATATATATATATATATATATATATATATATATATATATATATATATATATATATATATACCCAGTTTCACTTATATCATATCGGATGCCTCGCCAGGCTGAACTTTCACTTAACACGGATTTTTTACATATGCGAGTGTCCGCTATTTTTAGATTTGCCCCACCCTGCCTGACTGCCTGTTTTAGCTCATAAAATTCATACAAATTACCCGGCCAGAATATAATTTACATTGCTGGAATTCTTATAATTTGGTGATCATTTTGAATATAAACATCATATATTTTGCATTAGACATACAAATTTTAGATAAAAAATTTTCTCAGAGTAACTATGTTATCTTTTGTGCAAAATATATGACATTTATATTCAAAATATTCCTGGTCTTACAAGGAATCCAGCAATGTCAATTATATTATCCTAACTTTAGTTTGAGGTATTATTTATTAAAATTTAGTGGTTATCCCACACATCTCCTTGGGACGGTTGGTGGGGGGTGGGGGGGAGGGAGGGACCGACCGACCATCTGTTACCCCGTGAAGAATTATTATTATTTTTTATTAACTGAAGATATTTGTTTTAGCTCATAAAATTCATACAAATTACCCGGTCTGAATATAATTTACATTGCTGGAATTCTTATAATT